CTAAAATATAAAAATCAGAAGACATATGCTGATTTCAAAAGCATTCAGATGTGAGAGCAAAATGCTTTTTTGAATCTTGAGAACATGGTATTTGGTGAGTTTGAGTGCAGCAGAACTTTTGAGTACTAAATTGGAGGCATATCAATAGCCGGGATAGATACAATAGCTGCAAGGTAGATGGAACCAGATTGTGTAAGGTCCTGGATTCCAGGACTTTTCATTTTTAACACAGAGTTGCTGAAGGATTTTTGAGCAGGGAGTCTGCCATAGAAAAAATAATAGAGTTAGTGAGAAAGTGGATATTGCTCTGATGAATAACAACAGAAAACCAAAATGTATTGAGCATTACATAATGACAAGAAATATGCTAACTGGTTTTGAATGTTATTTAATTCAGCAACCTTGGACAGATATTATTCATCCCATCTTTCTGTTGAGGAACACTAGCTCAGAGAGGATTAAAAACTTTCCCTGGATACTGCTAGTGGATTGTGACATCGTTTGCTTTCCAACAAAAAGCTGACAGGTGTGAAACTGGAGACCAAGTAAGAGGACTATGAGCTATTGAATTTGGAGATATCTTGCGCTGGATAGCTTCTTCCCACATGTCAGTCTACTCTACAGGAGGCAGTTCTTTAGATCTAATACAATGCACAGAACTTCCTTGCCTTCTGGCTTCCAGTAGAGGTTAGCTAATGGGAGGAACTGGCAAGGGACCAAAGGGATGAAGGAGAATGAAGTTGAGGTGTCTCTTCTAGCTGCCATTCCTGGGACCTGGCTGGGTCACTGCTCAACTGAAGGTCACAACTCCTGGCCATCATCACATGAGAAAACACAGCTTACAATGGCATCGTTACGCTGATATGTGTTCAAATGTTTCTTCTTTCAAGGAGCCAGAAACTAGCCCATCCAGTGGTATAGTGCTGGTTCGAAGTAAAACGCTTATAACCAGACACTGACAATAAGAAGATTGCTCAGTGTGGAGAACCCAATAGCAAACCACAGTTCATGGAGCCCAAAGAGTCTCACCCTACTGATTTTCTCCTGGTGTTTCCCAGCCTTGGTTTGTAAAGGGCTGAGAAACTGATATCTTGAACTTGGCAAAGGTTAGCAAACCTCCCTTGCAGTGCTCATTGTATATATAACTTTTTTTTTTTTACAATAGTTGACTCCTTCATCCTTTCTTTGGGGGGGGGGGTACCAAAATATAAAAGATAAAGGGATAAAGCTGAAAGTCTGGCGTTGGCCATTTCCCACACAAAAATCTAAGCCCCCTAAGTTATTTGGGCATTTGATGGCTTTCATTTAAAGCTAAAGATACATATTTTATTTAGGAACTTATATTTATAAACTTCTTATCTATGTACAAGGTTTGTAGCAGAACTACTTCCAGCTGTGTATCCTGTAGCTCAAATTCACAACGGCTCCTTTCTTTCAAGGTAAAAGATACCAATAGCATATTAGATACTATTATCTTTATTACCTTAAAAAAATTGGGATGTTGTGAGGATTTACCCAGCTAATACATGCAAACTGCTTAGCCTAGGGTCTGGCGCAAAAGTCACTGCTACAGGAAAATAAATTAACAGTTACTGAGCACCCACCACTGTGCCACGCAGTGCAGAGCTTTCCCATAGTTGATGGCATTTAACTACCCTTAGTCCTAGCAAGGGGTTCGGGATGCTAAGTGCTGAGCCGAAGGACAGGCGTGCTGAGGTCCTCACCGACA